GAGAGAGAGAGAGAGAGAGAGAGAGGTGTGTGGCCAGCTCAGCCCACCAGGGGGCGGGCTGGCTGGCATGTGGTGCTGGGGGATTGAACCCTGGTCCCTGTGCTTCGCTGAACTTGTTCTAAGTAGGTGCTTTAGACCACTGAGCCATCTCTCCAGCCCTAGACTATGTTTTTTTTACAAATGTACTTGGTTGTTATAGGGTCTCACTGTGCACCTCAGACCCATAGTGATCCTGTTTTCAACCTCTCCAGTGTCGGGGTTACAGGCATATGCCACCATGCCCACTGTGGCCAGCTCAGCCTACCCTGGCGGCAGGGCTGGCACAGCATGTGGTGGTGGGGAACGAACTGACGTCCCTGGGCTTGCCTAAGCAGGCGTGTTAGTCCGCCGAACTATCTTGCTGACCCCTGCTTCCATAGACTTTGTTGTGGCTGAATTACGTTCCCCTAAAACCCATAAGCTGAAGTGACTGTTGTTAGGGACACCCAGTCTGTTGTCTTTTGTGAAGACAGTCCTAGCAAACTAATATGGAGCACCAAGCAAAGGAGTCATACAGTGTTGCTTCCTGAAGTTTGTTTCTCCCCCCACTTATTTACACAACTAGGTATTTTTATTGTGCATTTGTCTTGTGTGTGTGTGTGTGTGTGTGTGTGTGTGTGTGTGTGTGCATTTGTCTTAATCAAGGTAACCCACAATATTTTCTGCTCAATGAAAACCCAATGAAAGGCTCACTAATTGGACTTATTTCTCACGATAGCTTAAGGGCTTTGCATCCAAATCTGCAAGTCTTTTCCATACACTTTTTTTTAACTGCTTAGTTTTTTTTTTTAGAACCGGGGATTGAACTCAGCCCCTTGCGCTTGCCAGGGAAGCGTTTATTCTACTGAGCCATCTCCCCAGCCCCTAACTGCTTAGCTTTGCTACAGAAACTTCTCTATTAATATTTTTCCAAGATCCTTAACTGGTGCCTAGTACCAATCATCTAGAAAAGTAAAAGTACCCATCCTCCCTGGGGCAATCCACTCTGCATTTGTGGCCTCATTTTCATCTGTCTTCTATACTGCCCATGCTTCAACCACAAGGTTTACTTGCAGTCCCTTGAGTAGGTCCTTTTCTCTTGCTTCATGCCTCTGTGCTAATACTACTACTGGAATTCCTCTTTTCTTTCCTACTGGGAATCAAACTCATGAACTCATACTTCTAGGTATGGCATTCCATTTTTTCTCCTGATTTCTACCCTCTCAATTACCACCTAAGGGGCTGGGGAGATGGCTCAGTGGAATAAGTGCTTCCCTGGCAAGCACAGGGGCCTGAGTTCAATCCCTGGTTCTGCCAAAAGAAAGAAAGAAAGAAAATCACCACCCAACTTAAGTGGTTGGTTTAGAAAGACTCTCATCTTCACCTAATCTAACTTTTGGTAAAGTTACTCTTTCTTGGGTTAATCTAAAATGCAGCATCATCTACCTACTTTTTTCTCTTAGGTAAGATGTTTTCTTGAGATAGGATTTTACTATGAAGTTCAGGCAGGCTTTAACTTCACTATGTAGCCCAGGCAGCAACTGTCCTGCTTCAGCCTTCCCTGTGCTAGGATTGGAAGTGTGCACCATCATGCCTATGAAATTCTTGAGGGATGAGGCCATATCTTTTATTCGTTGTTGGTGCTCAGCATACAACAAGCACCCAATAAATGTACGCTAAATATTAAGTTCTATTACTTCCTAAATAAAGGAATCGGGGCTGGGGAGATGGCTCAGTAGGATAAATGCTTCCCTGGCAAGCACAAGGGTCTGAAGTTCAATTCCTAGTTCCGCCAAAAAAAAAAAAAAAAAAAAAAAAAAAAAAAAAACAGAGGAAGAAATGCTTGAATACTTTTCCTGCAGCCAATGAAATGGAAAATCCTTTTCATATTATGCCTATTAGTCATCACATTTACAATTGGGTTCCTATAACTGAAAGTGGACGAATAACTGTAAGAGTGCTGCCTTGGCCTTGTAACAAAACATTGTGTATCACAGAGAAAATCACTTTTCTTTCATCTCTATTTCAATTCCTTCTATTGAAAATAAAAATAACCTCTGCTATTCCCATACCCCAGTAACCAGAACTCTTTTATCTGTATTATAAAGTTTTGATATTGAAAAGCTTTAACAACTCCACTTAACCGGGCATGGTAGAACACAACTGTAATCCTAGCACTCTGGGAGGCTGAGGGAGAAAGGTAGCAGGTTCTAGTCCATCTGAGGCAATTTTCTGACTTAGCAAGTCTCAATACAAAAAGGAAGCTGGGATACAAAGACACTGGGTTTGATACCCAGTATGGGGCTGGAACTGGGTATACAGAACTCACAGGGTTGTTTTTGGTAGCTGGAATTGAACTCAGGACCCCATTTGCCAGGCAGGCACTGCATCGCTGATGGTTTCTAATTTTTTTCAACACTGTGTAAGATTTTAGGTTGACTCAGTCTAATTAGATTTACCTCAATGGTAAAGATGAATTATGCATCGAGAGATCAGATTACCAACTGGGGCATGGGAAAAGAGGATAGAAAAGTGAATTTTATTTTTTGGGAAGACAGGGTCTCATTATGTAGCCGAGGCTGGCCTTGAACTTGAGGTGATTCTTCTGCTTCAGCCTCCTGAGTCCTGGGATTACAGTGTGGTACTATGCCTAGCATTAAAGTAAATTTCTAAAACATTTGGGTCAGGTTGGCAAAAGACCATGATTAGGCTAGTCTCAAATCAACAGTTTTCTGTAAAACCCAAGTATAAGCAGCAGTTTGCAATGCCCAAAACAAACATAATGCCCAAAATGAATCTTAAGTTTACACAAATTTCCAAAGTGTGAGAAACAAAGTGTCTCTCTTAACACTGCTTCACTTTGCCTTCCCAATTTTTTCTAACTTGCCCCAGTTGGTTTCTGCTTCATTTATATTTAATCTTCTACTTACAAAAAATTTCAAGACCTGAAGCTCTTACTTCGCATACCACTAATGGAAGTCCAAATCACTGGCTGGAAACCTTGCAAAGGAATGCTTTTCACTTTTGGAAGTTTTATTTTTTAGTCAGATGATCTGAGAGTCCTCTCTATGAGAAACTACTCTCCATCATGCAGGAGGTTTGAGATATCTTAATGTTAAGAGGGTTTGGGATGTAGCTCAGTGGTACAGCACTTGTCTCACATGTGCAAGGCCCTAGGTCCTAATCCCCAGTACCAAAAAGGAAACAAAAAAAGGGGGTGGGGCGGGGAAAGCTACATAAAGTTGCAAACTAGATTGCAATTAATAAGGATCCCCCAGCTGGCGAGATGGCTCAGTGGTCTAGAGCACCTACTTGGAACAAGCTTGACAAAGCACAGGGACCGCGGTTCGATCCCCCAGCGCCATATGCCAGCCAGCCCCGCCCCCTGGTGGGCTGAGCTGCCCCCCCCCAATAAATAAATAAATGTTTAAAAAAAAAAATAAAAAAAATAAGGATCCCCCAAGCTGGGTGTGGTTGCACACACGTAACCGCAGCACTTGGGAGGCTGCGGCAGAATAGTTCAAGGCCAGCCTACACACAAGGCGAGAACCTATCTCAAAAAACAAAAACAAAAACAAAAATTAAGGATCCCCTGGCTAGGGAGATAGCTCAGTGGCATAAGTGACTGCTTGGCAAGTACAAGGTCCCAAGTTTGATCCCTGGTACGAGAAAATTAAAAAAAAAAAAAAAAAAAAAAAAAAAAAAAAAAGGTTCCTCTAAATTGACAGCTCTATAACCAGTAAAAAGCTCACGAATATTTAAGGCACCCTAGCCTCTGTTCACAAATATTTGATGTAGATCAGTGACTTTACTTTTTTGCAGTACAGGAGACTGAATACAGGCAAAGCTGAGCTGTATCCCTACTGCTTCCACTGCCTTACATTTTGCGACAAGGTCTTGCTAAGTTACTTAGGCTGGTCTTAAATCTGTGATCCTCCTGCCTCAACCTCTGGAGAAGCTGTGATTACAGCTATTTACTGCCATACCCCCAAAGAACTCTGGTGTGAACCACACACAAGACCTGAAACTTTTTTTTTGGCGGAACTGGAGATTGAACTCAGGCCCTTGTGCTTGCCAGGAAAGCACTCATTCCACTGAGCCATCTCCCCAGCCCTTGAAACATTTTTTAGTAAGGCCAGTACAGTCCCCTTTGTGAAAAGGTAGTCTATAGTCATCTGATGAAAGCTAGGAGCAAATGCTTTACTTACACAAGTACACTTTTTCAAATAACAAAGGGCGTTACTTTTTTCACAAAGATGATCTAAGAAACTGCAGCTGTGAGATCCTGTACCAAACAAACAAACAAAAAGGGACGGGGTCTGGAGATAGCTGGGCCCAGGGAGATAGCTCAGTAGAATAAGTGCTTGCCTGGCAAGCACTGGGTCCTGATTCAAACCTCAGTACCACAAAAAAAAAAAAAAAAAAAAAAATCATGTTAAAATGAGCGTGTTGAGAACACCCATGGGAATAACAACGGCAAAGCACGTGGGAGAGAGCAGAAAAGATAACATATACGGCCACTTGCTGCTCTCAGGTCCCCACCTGCATTCTTTCTCCCCATCAAAATGCCTGGGCAACATGTCCTTACCTTTTAAACTGGCATAAGACACATGAAAGCCCAGTAAGGGCCTGATGTTTTCTCCTTGCCTTGTTAGAGAACACAGGATATCTCTCTTTCTCTCTCTCTTTTTTTTTTTTTACTGAGACTATGTTCTAAAGAACAAACAGAATCCAGAAAAAGGTGGATAAATTTACAGCTACTTTGAACAATATCCCAACCACAAATACCTTAAGAGAGTTTTGTAGTGAATCCCCCTTCCCTTTTATCCAATGAGATTACTGCCCATTATTTTGGAAGATAACACAATTACTAGGCCTAAAGAATAATTTTTTTATTGTCATCATTTGTGAAAAAAAAACAGGGTGGACAGTTCAAGGAAGGACACAGAGTGTGCCCTGTTTTAGGTTCCAAATTTCTTCTTTTTGATAGGTGGTGGGAGCTGAGCGATGATATCATCAAGGGGCCGTTCTACTGCCACAAGTGTCCTTTCATCCAAAAGATCCATGAAGAGTAAGGGCTGCAGAGAGATGACAATGATGCCGCCAAGTGGTTATGCTTTAGGACAAAGCTAAAAACCTTTTCAAAGTTGAAGGATCTAAGCCATACAATCTTTCCAACCCTCAGACTCAAAAGAGTTGGAAAGATTGTGAGCTTGTAACTGAGTTTGCTCAAAAGTATGCTTGTGGGACTTCTGAGTGGGGCCAGGCAGTTTTAGTTTTATGTACAATGAAAACACTAGTCAGAATAAAGAAAATCAAAATACATTCAATGACTTCCATTTGCTTGAAATTTATGTTTTAGAATATTCTTCAACTACACTGAAAATCTAGCTTTCAAACTAACAACTCCCTACACATATACACCTAAGCATTAACATCACGTTCCACAACATACGGCTTTCACTGAGTTAAGTATGATGTATCTTCCTTGTAACTTACTAGGTTACAAGGACATTGCAAGAACAATGAAATACAGACATAAGCAACACGACCTCAGGAAGTTCTCTTATGTAGCACAAACTGGGCGCTCAGCCTATACAATGAAGAAGCTCTACTGCTGAGTTTATTCTGTTATTATAATATAAACAATCAACCATCTAGAATGTATTCTAAGATATTTTACCTTGTATTTCTTAGAAATTTTAAAGGCATGGGCTGTGCGCCTCCGGAAAACATCCGACTCATTCGTAGGAGGAAGTGGATTGTAGAGTACTGTTTTGTCATTTGGAAGAGGCTAAAAAGGCAAGGACATAGCATTTAAAGTGTTACCTTTATTGGGCTTCTATAGAACAAAAGACTAGCAGTTTTTCGGGCCAACACCATCTTCCCACTATCATGTTACACACTCACTGCCTCCCTGAATTTTCTCTACTTCAGGAAGAGCTATAGCACTCCTCCAGCCACTGAGTTCCAGCCCCAGAGTGTGGTACTCTATGCCAACAAGAGCAAAGGGCAACTGGGGCCTCCGGTCAGTAATGCTGTTAGAACACACAGGCACATGCAGAGCTCAGCTGTAGCAGGATCTGTGCTTTCCAGATGCTTCCTTAACCAGATCACAGAACGGCCAAACGACTCAAATTTCCCCAAGTAAAACCTCAACAGAAATCACTTCCACTGTTGTCACCAACACTTGAGATGGCCACTATGTAAACAAAGAATAGTTCATCTCCATCTTCTGTGGAAAAATAGTACAGCCCAATATGAGGAAAGGCTTGGGAAAAAGCAATCTGAGCTGAGTTACAGGAGGCAATCGAGTGGGAGGGGCCCTTCCTGCATCGCTCATCTCACAGAAGGCACTTGTCAACGGCTGTGCTTCCCACACCCAAAGGATACAGGGCCCAAGAGATGAGTTTCAACGATAGCTTCCTGCACACATCTCCTTTAGAGCCATCTGCTGCTTTCCCCACGCTCCTTTCCACCCCCACTTTCACAGATACACCCAAAGAGCCAGGGTCAGTTTTAATTTAAGCTCAAAGTACATTGTAGGCAAGACCAGGGCCCACAATGCTCCTAGGAAAGAAAATCTTTGCCCAGAAAGACATATAAATTAGGAGTGAATCAAAGCAGCAGGAGGAAAAGAAGCTAGAATCTCAAACTGAAGAAAATATTTCCATCCCACCTATATAAATATATATGTATGTGTGTGTGTGTGTGT